AATTCCCTTAACTCTGCAAGAAGGCAGACAAGAAGTTTAGAAGCAAACTAAGAGCCCAGACTGCAAGTCCACCAAGTTGAGCAATAGCAACACACACTGTGATCAGATTTGTTTTGACTAATTTGCGTGCTGCATAACTTTCATTGAAAAATTAAAAGAAATGTTATTATTTTTAAGTTACCAATGGTACAGGGTTATCATAAAAGCAGCCAATGCAACAAAGCAACTTATTGTCCCCTGATTTGTTCCCAAAACAAGCTGAGTAAGGTTTGCAAAGGCCAGAAATGTGATAAAGTGGAACAAGAGAGAAATGCTGTTGTTCTTTTGGTGAGGACAATCTGGTAGTTCACCTTACTGCCTTGCTCAGTGACACATGAGCAGGGTGGAGGTTTGCTGACTCTTTGCACCTAAAGGTCCTCCAGTTGTTGACGTATTGCTTTGTGGTTGCCCTGATGGAAACAATTCTGTAAGATGGTTTTAAAAGATTTTATACTTTTCTCTTTACCACTATGGTTATCTATATCTAAACAATGAGAGATTTGTGTGGCATTTGTGTGGCATTTATAGCATTAGATCATGGAAGTTGAAGTTTACCACCATTGCAGTCAGCTTCTCCCAGATTCCCGGATTAGTAGTCGTTCATTGTTTATCGTTCAGGAGGAGGGTTCTAGGGTGAGAAAAATTATCCACAATCTCAGGTCACCCCCCCCTCCAAAAAAGGACTTTTTTTTAAAGGGGACCTATCATGCAAAATGCAATTTTTTATGTCTTTTATACATGAATATGTGTCCCTGGTGTGTCAGGGAACTCACGCAGCGTCAGAAAATAAAACCCTTTCTCTTTCCTCTAAAAACGGGTGTAATACAGACCCCCGGCGAGACAGGTGATGGCGGGGCCTCCAACGGAACAGGACAAGGGGTTGGCAGGACCCCCGGCACAAGAGTTGTCTGCGGGACCCCCAGAGGAACAGGACATAGGATTGGCAGGACCCCCGGCAGGAGAGTAGTCGGCGGGACCTCCAACGGAACTGGACATGGAGCTGGCAGGACCCCCAGCGGAACCTCCAACGGGACAGGACATGGAGTTGGAAGGACCCCCGGCAGGAGAGTAGTTGGCGGGACCCCCAACGGGACAGGACATAGGGTTGGCAGGACCCTCAGTGGAACAGGCGTCGGCAGGACCCCCAACGATACTGGACGCGGAGTTGGCAGGACCCTCAGCGGAACAGGACATGATGTCGGCAGGACCCCCGGTGGAACAGGTGACGGCGGGACCTCCAATAGGACACGGGGAGCTGGAGTGGGTCGGTACACCGACAGAACACGAGGAGCTGGAGTGGGCCGGAACACCGGAACGTGAGCCAGAATCATAGCTGCTGGGGCCGGTACTGGAGTCGGAACCGGAGCCGGAATTGAAGCCGGAACCATGGCTGCTGGGGCCGGTACTGGAGTCGGAATTCAAGCCGGAACCATGGCTGCTGGGGCCGGAACTGAGGCTGGAACCATGGCTGCTGGGGCCGGAACTGGGGCCGGAACTATGGCTCTTGGGGCTCGGGCTGCTAGCCTGGACTTGCGACTCTCTCTCTTAGGAGCCTTTTGGAGGCTCCGTGGACCTCCAAAAGCCAGACGAGTTCCAGAGAATGGCTCCTGGACAGGATCAGGAACTGGGGAAGAAGCAGAGGTTGACTCCAGACGGAACACACCGAGGCGTATGGTGTCAGGTTGGGAGTTGGGAGGCAGGGAGCTAGCATGCCTGGCCTGGGGATAGCAGGCTGGGAATCACACCCCGAGAGGAAGTCCAAAATCCAGCCAGGTAAGAATTTCACAACCTGGTTTCTCCATAGCCATCTGGTGCGCCTCAGCCAGAGCAGCCTCTCGGTGCTGAACCCCGGACGCTCCCCTCCACTTATCAGAGCAGCCAGCCAAAGAAAAGGAAAAACTGAGTAATTCCAACTCAAAAGGATCTGCTGGGCCCATCCTTGGTGAGTTCCTTCTGTCAGGGTTGAGTGAAGCAGGCAGGACCAAAAATGCAGATTTCACAGATAATACCTTTATTTCAAGGCTACACTAGAACAAACAGAACACTAACCCGTGAACACAGTCATAGACAAACAACAAGGAACTCATAAAGACTAACAGAAAACACAGAACCTAAATGCACACAGGACTAATCAAACAAACAAGAGACAGGTGAGGAGGGCGGAGAAAACACAGGGGCACCAGGTGAACACAATCGGGTAATCAGGTAGGAGGGGAAACAGACAGAAAGCAACAGGAAAGACAGGGGGTGAACACTTTTCAAAATCAAACAGGAAACCAAAGACAGAAAAAGACAAGACAAAACACAACACAGACAGATCGTGACACTAACACATATAGTACTTTGCATTTAGAGAAAGACATGGGAATCAAGGTTTCCCTCTTCCGTTCATTTGTTCTGAGACAAATAATTAAAATGCCTGGTTCTCTGTACGTTACTGTGTTTAACTTAATAACACATTAACTAACACACAACTATCACACGGTTTGAAAACAAATGTCAAGTGCAGCTTTCCCGTGAGAGGCTTCTGTTCTCAGTATGTGTTGTGGAAGAAAATGCAGAAGTGCAAACCACTCGGCTCGGTAGGAAGTCACATAGCTTTGGTTAACGGCTGTGTGACAAAAATAGGAAGCAAAGTTCTGATCATGTTTGTGATATGCATGAAAAAAACCTTTGGTAAATGTCACTGTGTCTGCATTATGTTTACGACACCAGCATGTTATTTAGAGTTTTAAGAACGTGACACCTTCTGAATTTTAGAAGAAGGAGCATCGTTCCATCAGGGCATCAACTTATGGAAAAACTATATTTAAAAAAACAAAAAANTGGTCTTTGCCAACTTTGAAAACAGTGCATCACCTAGCAGGAAGAGTTATCTTTGTAGAAAACTATTACAGAAGGACCGGTAGTCTTAGTTCTATTGCCGCACACCAACAACGTCACCTTAGGTCTGCCTCTTATGAAAACGACATCATGGCAAGAATAATATATAATATGTAGGTACACATTCGTGTCCCCACGTGTATTGACCATGCGTCCCAAATGCCGTACGCGCCGGTGTTAGACTTTCCGGAACTGTGTAGTTGAACACAGTGTTCGCGTAAAACGCATGCCTGATGAACACCCTTCGAAAAAGGTCCTTTCCCGGCGCAATCTAGTGCCTGCTGGTCCTCAGCGCGCCAGAGCACAGTGGTCTTGTCCCGACGCAATTGCAAGGCCAACCCACATGGTGGCCCTTAACACCGGTTTTGAGTACGGGTTGGCCCGACGGCGTCCTCACCTCTGAGGGGAATAGTGGACCTTCCTTGACGGCGAATTGTCGGACTAGGCTGTGCAGTGGGGGTTAGACGGGTGGTGTTATTACCTTATGGTATGACTTGGAGCCATAGTAGTATTATGTAATGAAAGAATTATGTGGCACCGAAAACAATGTGACATAAAACACGTCAAATTCCGAAGTTTTGGTTTTTTTCCACAAGAATTAGAAAGTATGTTGTAAGTCCTTTAGGGGACCGATGGTAGGACTTGTTGTCCCTGGTTGTACGTCAACCCTTGTATTGGTGTTTTGAGTTTTGGTTGTTGTCGTTGGTAGACCCTCCGTTGACTTTCCCTTCCACAATAAGGTTTTGTCACCGGAGTTGTCTTTTCTGTGTAACAATGGTGTTTTTTTTCAACGATTAGTGTACGATGGTTTGGTGGTTTCGTTTCAAACGGTAAAACTTTTTTTTTCTATTCCATGAAACAATTGATTACCACGCGGTAGGGGTCGTGGTCTTTAATTGTCGAAACTGATGTTTATTACATATGCGAATTTAGATAAAAAGGTTCAGTCAGCGGCCTGTTTTGATTTGCCTCCGAAACAAAAGCAGTTACAGGGCCTCCCTTTTCCGGAACGCGAAGGTCTCGGTGAAATAAAGAAGGGGCTTCGTAGATACAGTACACTTTCACGGGCTCCGCTTGCTGAACAAAGGTTCTACAGCGTATGAAACCCCTTAAAGATTGCTCCAGGCCGCATGAAGCCATCGCTCTTTACCAAGTCTCCGCGTGTACAACCAAATCTGAGGCGCCAGGAATTTTAGGGGTGTTAAGCCGAAAACGCGTGGGCCTGTTTTAAAAGTTTAGAAAAAACCCCCGCCTTAGCCGCGGAAGCGTAAAAAAGTTGGCCCCGGAGCGTATACTTTCTGCCGTGTGGACCAATTTCCAGATAAGTGGCTGCTGAAATCAATCTTACTAACTGCTGTCTGTGCAATTCTCTGCGCGAGTTGGCGGACTCTATTTTGCTTACTTTAACATCATTTTTCATGGTGGGGCTAAGCCATTTCTTGGTATGACTGTAGCCCAGCCATACCCTGGCGCTGCCACTGGTGGGATGTATGGGGCGGGCCATTCTGCACATGCGTTAAATGCGTTAAATATTTTAACGCAATTAATTCAAAAAATTAATTACCGCCGTTAACGCGATAATTTTGACAGCATTATTGATTACATATTCCCAGTTGACTGGTCAAATATCAGACCAATGAGAGGTGGAACCGGTCTGTTTGAATTATTAATTACAGGGTTCCTACGGTCATTCAAAACCTGGAAAAGTCATGGAAATTCAAAATTCAAATTCCAGGCCCTGGAAAAGTTATGGAAAACAATATTTTTCCCAAAGTTTTGGAAAAGTCATGGACATGTAGCCAAAGTTTCATCAAATATAATTTATATTTTATCTAATCGCCGAAATAGTAATACTATAATGATAATAAATACTGTATCGTATAGTAATGAAACGTAAAATGGCATTTAACTGACGAGGTATTTTTCTGGTGAGAGATTTTCACAATCACGCCCTCTAGTCTACAGTGGCTTTAGTCTGTAGGAGCTAGTAAGCCTAATATTTGATTTGTTTTAGATAGGCACACCATGTTAAAATAAAAAAATGTCAGTGGTACCGCTGAGAGTAATTTTTTTTGGTCATGGAAAATGAGGTGAAGGTCATGGAGAAATCATTGAAAATCATTGGTGAAAAAGTGTATGAACCCTGTAATTAATTTCCCACCGTCTGTTTCACACAAAAGTCAGCAGCTTGGAGGCAAAAGAAGCTTGTAGTTAACAGACAAATATTTGTACTACGTATACAACCAGTATTCAGTGTAATTCCATTTTCGGTTTAGTGATTTTAATGGGCCTATTAATGTGAATACTAAAAGAGCTGAGGCCACATTTATGCAGCTTAACCCAAATTAGGTCTAATAAAATCCTTTATCCTTTTATTGTCATTAAGTGTTTGACTTATCCCTGTCTTATTTTAGAGATGTTTTTTTTTGTTATGGGTGTTCTTCAATGTGATGATTACCCCATTATGGATCATTTATTTAAATGTTAAAAAACCTTTTATTTTGTCTTCTATCTGACAGTGTCTGTGGCCAGTCCCATGGTTCCAGGTGGCATAAGAAATATCCATGAGGGCAAAGTAGCGGGGCAGATGGGGAACGCAGCCAACCACCACTCAGACAGACATGGCCCTGAGGACTATATGAACATTGTACTGGCCAATGAGGTATGACTTACAAAGACTAGAATGAATACCTTTTAAGTTAAGAAAACCCAACCAACTCTATTGTGAGCCAAAAATCAAATTTATTTATTCTATGTCGCTGCACTATCACTGCTCAGCTAGCAAACGGGCATTAGTGAGCATTCCGATTGGGAAAAACATTGAAAACACTGCTCTAAAGATTAAATATCTGTGGCGCAATCGACGGCACAGATATTTAGGCTGGTTTTGTTAACTAAGCAAAAACAGGTCCAGTTACATTTGTGTGTCTTTAATTATTTTTAGGTTGTAATAACTTAATCTTAAATGAGTTCAGAAGATTCTTTTGAAATTGGCGGTGGTTATGAGGTGGAATCTCCCTAGGTTTTTTAAGGGAGAACATTTTTATAAATGTAAGCTTAATGATATGCACAGTGCTAGGTATTCAATTACATTGACATTATAGTTCTGATTTGTCAGATTTAAAATATTTTATTCGCCCCAATTGTTGTGTAAATATAATGAACCTGCACTCTGGAGTCACTTCCCCCTCATAAGACAAGCTTTATTGGCAACAATTAGGCAAAAAGGTTTTAAGATATTTTCCGAGAATGCTTTCGGTTGATAGGCAAGTGTAAAGCTGATACCTGGTAGCTTACATCTCTCTTGTCTGTTGTCCAGGAGGGTGACTCGGCCATGAGGAATCCTTCTTTCTCTCTGAGGTCTCCACAGTCTGACTGCTCCCCAGCAGGGAGTGAAGGGACGCCAAAACGTAAGCACACTGGAGGAGGAAAGAAGACGCTACAGAACCTACCTTTTTTCTTTAGGACACAGCAGTCTCTGGCTCTGTAAAACTCATTACCCTGAAACAGAATGCTTTGCGGCCATAATCCCTCAAACTGATACAATGCCAAAGTGATTTTTATTATTTATTCGAGTGCACTGTCACTTCAGTGTTTGGGTTTGTTCGTTTCCTTTTGCATGCCTTTGGAGGATAACTTTCTTCTCTTTTTGGTGTTGCTTCCTCTCAGCAGGTTCTCGTCCTCCACTGATTCTACAGTTACCACCTCCCTATGCCTCACCAAGAGAGGGAGGACTTGACCAGAAACAGCTGCTCCAGCAAAGGAAGAAAGGCCCAGCAGTGAAAGAGGAGAAAGATATGTACGACATTGTAAGCTCTCCAAACAACGACTCGACAAAACTTACCCTCAAGCTGTCCAGGGTCAAGTCAAATGAGTCCGATTCAGCAGGTAAGGAAGATTTTTCATTTGCTCAATCCTAGCTCGATTCCCATGTTTCTGTTATGCAGTTTCCTACATCTCCAGTTTACAAACTTAAATCACTTTCACAGCTTTTTAATCAATTAGAAGTACTATAAAGAGGTATGCTGCATGCACTTCTTTAAGAAGAAGAAAAAAACCCTCTCAGTCAAAACCTTTAGACTAGTGAAAACTATTAGCCCTTTGAAACACAACCATGTAAATGTGCTCTTGTTAATATCTCAGGTGATGTTCTGCCAGGGATGGACGAGAACTCTGACAATATGGAGGCAGAACTGGGCTTTCAGCAGGTGCCTGTGCTCCAGCAGAATCTTGGAGCTCGGTTGCATCATGCAGGTAGTGCCAGTGGTCTCCAGCCTCCCAGTTCTCCGTACGACGAGGCAGAGCTGGATGCCCTCGCTGAAATTGAAAGGATAGAACGAGAAGCGGCTAGTGAGAAGTGTTCCAAGGAGGTGCAAGATAAAGGTGTGTACAATACCTATGGTTGTGACTACATGGATGCAAGCCTGAAAACATAGTTGTAAGTTTATAAATATAGAAGTTTTACAAAAAAGTAAACATTACATTTCTTTCTCATTATAGACAAGCCACTGAAGAAGAGGAAACAGGACTCTTTTCCCCTGGAGCCAGGTGCGGGGGGACCAGGAGGACCAACGGGGGCCCCGGGCAGTGGATCAACAGGAGGGGGCAATGCTGGCAAACTGACCCCACAAGAGGCCACTGCAGCTGGGAACGGTGCCAGCCGACCGCCCCTCATGGTGAGCATCGAGCTACAGCAGGCAGGCCGAGCTGATGGGCAGCTCGACCCCTGTCCAGCTGCCCCTATTCCAGCCCTAGAGGCCCAACGCTGGCCTGAAGAACCAGCTAGTGGGCCGGCAGCAGTGGAGGGTTCTGACACGGCTTTACGGTTGAAACCAGATGGAAGGCCGGAAGTAATAAAGAACAGGGTCGATAAACACGACAGCAGGAGAGATGGTCGGGATTCATCAAAACACAGACTCGATGAGAAGTCCTCTGAGAGACGGGGAGATATGCCAAAGTCATCACACCGAGGGGAACTCGGTCGAGACAGGGACAGAGAGTCTGACAGAGATAGGAGGCATCGGAGCGAGACTGGTGGTCGTGACCGACGCTCACCTGACCCTCGGTGCCGAAGTGACCGAGATAGGTACCGAGCTTCTTCTACTGGAGAGCCTGGTCGAAGCGGCAACAGGCAAGATGGTTCCAACCCGGCCTCATCCGCCTCTGGTGCTAAACTGCCAGATGCATTCCCTGCTCAGCTACTGGGAGGGCATAGTGGCGCTCTGAAGAACTTCCAGATCCCTAAGGTGATCTGGGCCGACCCAAACCAAATGTCTACCCACCTACCAATCATTCAACTTTCACTGCCTGCAATCTCACAAAACCAAATCACACCACTGCTCGCTGTTTTTTTACATGTTTATGTTTTTTCATGTGCCAGACTTTTGTTTATTCCTGGGGTAAAATGATGTCAACACATTGACACAAACCTAACCATCTGCTTAAAGTAGAATCTTTATTAATGAATTGAAGTTTTAAGTCCTGTGTGTAAACAAAAGCAAGTACTTCAAAGAAATACTCCACTGGTGTTTCTCAGACATTTCTTGAGGGTGAATGTCGACTCAAAACTCTCACTGTTAGCACCGTGAAGCCCAATAATCTGGACTGGAAAGATTTGTCTTGTAAAGCTTCTATTTATTTACCGAAGAGCTAGCACATTTTTACATCTATTGCATACTGAAGCTTATTTTGCTTTACTGAAAGGATCAGTTAAAAAACAAAAAAACACAGGTGCCCGAGCAGCCACTATATGGTAGCCATATTTAGCTCCCATTAATACAACATAACCTGCCGTTTAATGTTTTAGTCAAATTGGTAGCTTATCACCCATGCTGCATACCAGCAGAGAATTGCATGTCTGCCTAAAATCTGACTGCTAATCAAGTTTTTAGTTAAAGTTACTTATTTACATTTGTTATTGTCTTTATAGAGACTCTATTGTTCTCAGCAGAGCAATGTTACGATTACATTTTTATTTAAGAATGTATGTCAGTCAGTGGTAGGGTTAGCAACATAAAACTGTGTTTTGAGTTTGCTAAGCCTTTTAGCAAAGGCTGTTTGTTTGTGTAATTTAAGCCAGTTAGGAATAAGTGCATATTGCATATTGATAAAGACCGACGCTGTGAAAAGGTTGACAGTGTAGACATCCACAGAAGACATCGCCCTGTTTTCCCATCACACCTAGTGGCTGGGGGCAGTTGCTGCCTTGACACTGCAGTTCTGACAATGTTTTTGTGAAGACATTGAGATAATGTTAGGATAACAGTGGATTATTCCTTGAGTGTTTATCAGAACTTTACTGGAAACTAACATCAAAATCACTGATCTCATGTTAATCAGTTTGATCCATTGTTTACATGTAATTATCTTACATGATTTTCCTTTTTGTAAACAAAGCCCATATTTTTTAACGTGCGATTTTTATAAAAGTTTGAACTTCAAACTTGACAAACACTTCTCTAACTCCTTTCTGTTTGTTTGAATTTTTTCAGATCAACCGTGAAAAGGATGGCAGTGGCTCCATTGAAAGTCCAATGTGGGTACAGCCCAAGGTTAAACTGGAGAGGCTTGGATTGGTGCAGGACTTTGAGAAGAGGCCCAAGCCTGTAGTGGTTCTGAAAAAGCTCTCCGTCGACCAAATCCAGAGGATCATCCGACACAGCAAGTCTGGGAAAAACAGGAGCTCCTCAGCAAAATCTGTCACGGGTGAGAGCAAGAATCTATTGCATGTTTTCACCACGCAATTACATTTAAAGCAACATTACCTTTTTTACCGCAACATTTTATTTTCAGGTGGCATGGATCCATCAGTTCTCAGGGATCTTCCCCCAGAGCTGCTGGCAGAGATCGAGTCAACGATGCCCCTGTGTGAGCGGGTGAAGGTGAACAAGAGGAAACGAAGCACTGTAAATGACAAGCCCAAATATGCTGAGGTCAGCTCAGATGACGACTTTGACGCAAATGGAGAGTGTAAGTCCAAATATGTATTTCTCATCAGTTGTTGCTTAAAGTCTTTGCAAGGTTTGGGCATTTGAGGAATATTCTTAAAATGGAATAACCTTATTGAGCCAACAGTTAAAGCCTATTGATATTAATTAATGTGCGAACATTTCTAAACACAAATGAACTGTAAAGGGTTTGTGTTACTTTGGTTTTATTTATAATTTAGGTCCTAAATGTTGTTTCTCTGTTCTCCACAGCTGCAAGGAAGCGCCAGCGCCAAGAAAAAGACCGGTCCTGGGATACGGAAGAACGGGAGCGCCGGGGTTCGGGCGAACATCGGAAAATTGTGTCGCGGGACAGCCGACGGGGCTCAGGGAGCCGCTATCGAGACTCATCTGACGAACATTCACCGCCACCAAGCATAAGTGAAGGTCTGTATAAGTCCTCCATCACATGACTTCCAATTAAATGTTTTTTTTTTTTTACTTGTGTATGTGACAGTCATAGAACTGCCTCCACAGTTAAAGATAATGCCACATTAGGTTGGGGGTAATGTTGTATATAAACATATTTTACTTGTCAGTGTGCAACACATTTCCAGATAGAAAACAGAGTTTCTAGAAACAATGAACCTGTCCAGGGATGTTTAGCATCTCACACACTCAATAACAGCAACATAAACTAAATGACATTTCTGTTCCTCAGTCGCCAGAAAAATGAAGATTAAGGAGAAGCAGAAGAAACGGAAAGCATACGAACCCAAGCTGACCCATGAAGAATTAATGGACTCGTCCACATTCAAGAGGTTCTTAAATAGCATTGACAACATACTGGAGAATCTTGAGGATGTGGATTTCACTGCCATGGGTAAATATCAGTGCTGACTTTGCTTTGTCAATCAATTGCAGAAAGCTCGGTTTTATTATTGTTTTTGTTTTTTTTAGATCCGTTGTAGTGAACGTGAATTGTAAATTTGTCACGAACATCCACGTGGAATCTAGGTTAAACCATTGGTTTTCATTGTTATGGTTCAATGTCACTGTGACCACACAAAAAAAGCCATAACTCAAAAAATGAATGCGCTAATTATGACTATTTTAAATCATTGTCTTACTTGATACAATTATGACATTTTGGATAGACTTAGATGTAAACTGCAACTTGAGTGGTTGTGGACGACATAAAACAGCTAGTTAGTAACTGTAGTTGTGATGTTGTGTTCTCCAGCAGAAGCAGATGATGATGAGATACCTCAAGAATTTCTGCTCGGGAAACACCAGTTGAATGAGCTGGGCAGCGAGTCCGCCAAGATTAAAGCCATGGGCATCTCCGGCAAGGTACTGCATATTATAATATATGAATATAAAGAAAGAGATTCCACTGTTGCGTATATGTGGTGCTGTTTCAGATGTAGGTCTAAATAACAGTCTGTGTTGTTCTAGATCCCAACAGAAAAGCTGGTGAAGCTGCTGAACATACTGGAGAAGAATATCCTGGATGGGTCCAAGCTCTCCACCATGATGACCCATGTGAGCCTCCTTCCTCCACATTTCTGTGTTGAATATTGTTTGTAGTATTATTGACTTGACATCAGCAATGTGTGACATACCGTGAACCTGATGTTAGAGAATACAAAAGATACCCACTGGTAGGGCTGCTCGATTATGGCAAAAATCATAATCTCGATTATTTGGGTCAATAATTGATATCACGATTATTAAAAACGATTATCCATTTACTTTGAAAACATCAATTTATTGAAGAAAAAAAGTTTAACAGTATGTTTTTAACAGCTGATTAGCCTGAACTTGAAGTATAATTCAACTGAAAAACCAATACAATTTCGTTTTATTTCGATTGTTGTTTTCATAATCGCTTTCATAATACGATTAATTGAGCAGCCCTACCCACTGGTAGCAAAAGTTCAAAATCGTTAAAATGATTTTTCACGGCTAGACTGAATATAAATCTTCGGCCTCAGAACAGTAGTTTATTTCAATGATTTCCATGTGACCTCAGGACAACGATGCTGAAGATGAGGAAAAACTCTGGCGGGACCTGATAATGGAGAGAGTCACAAAGTCAGCAGACGCGTGTCTCACAGCTCTAAACATCATGACCTCAGCGCACATGCCCAAAGCGGTCTACATAGAAGACGTGATAGAGCGGGTGCTACAATACACCAAGTTCCATCTGCAGAACACACTGTACCCCCAATACGACCCGGTCTACAGGGTGGACCCTCATGGAGGTGAGGGTTGAGAGAGAGCTTTATTTCATTTGATCTGATGGGATTGGAGAGAAATGTCATTTTTTTTCTTCTTCTTATAAATCTCTTTTATTAATTGTCTTTTTGTTTAATTTTTAATTATGATGTGTTATGCCTATATAAAGCACTTTGAATTGCCTTTTTTTGTTTGAAATGTGCTATATACATAAACTAAGCGTCACCTCAATATCTGAGAAGTTACTTCAACACTTTGCTACATTTTAGAGACAGTTTTTTTTCAACAACTAGTAAAACTTGTTGTTATGTAAAATCATTGTTTATTATCAAACACAGTATTTAATGCTGTTACTCTTTTCCATCTAGGTGGCCTGTTGAGCTCCAAGGCAAAGCGGGCAAAGTGCTCCACACACAAGCAGCGAGTGATTGTCATGTTGTACAACAAAGTGTGCGACATTGTCAGCAACATCTCTGAGCTCCTCGAAATCCAGCTGCTCACAGACACCACCATCCTCCAGGTGAAAACAATGTTAACTGCAGTCATCTGTTCATCAAGACAAAAGTTTCAGCGTTAACCAGTTGATGATTTATGTCGTTCTTTCTCTATCCAGGTTTCTTCTATGGGAATCACTCCTTTCTTTGTGGAGAATGTCAGTGAGCTGCAGCTGTGTGCCATTAAACTCGTTACAGCTGTAAGTCACATTCTTTTCTCTTAGAAAAACGTAGTGCTTAAAATCGTTGTTGTACCGTTATGTGCAACCCTGCATTGTTGTTTTTCACTGTCTCCCTCTGACTTGTGTGTCCATCCATTGAATGCATGTTTCTACAAAACTACGAGTAGAGATTCATCTTTTTTTTTTCTACGTTCTGTCTCCAGGTGTTCTCACGATACGAGAAGCATCGGCAGCTGATCTTGGAGGAAATCTTTACCTCTTTGGCCAGACTGCCCACCAGCAAACGCTCCCTCAGGAACTTCCGGTAAGTTGTTGTCAGGTGATGCAGAGAAAGGCATCAAACCAGAGGCTTAAGCCAACAAGGTAGCAGATATAATAATAGTTGAGGTAGAGGTGAAGATACCCATAGTAGTAACATTACACATATCCATGCTCCTCTTGTGTCTAGGCTGAACAGCTCAGACCAGGATGGAGAGCCTCTGTACATCCAGATGGTGACTGCTCTGGTGCTGCAGCTGATTCAGTGCGTGGTCCACCTCCCCAACGACAAGGATTTCTACGACGAGTACGAGGGCAAGGTACGACAGCAAGCAGACACACGACACATCCTCGCAAGCGGCAAATACAAAAACACATTCATTGAATTTGCTCTTTTTTCCAGGTGGATCAAGATGTGTTGATAACCAACTCGTATGAGACGGCAATGAGAACAGCACAAAACTTCCTCTCCGTCTTTCTCAAAAAGTAATTACTTTCACAGTTTTTACGGCTTTCGAGTAGGCTATGCTCTTTCCTTTTGGCTATTTGAATTGTACTGAGGCAGTCACCTTATATTTTTATAAATGTGTACAGTGTGGACAAATGCAGTAGAGTGATTGCTTGAGTGTGTAGGGATGTTAGCCTTCCTTTCCTGGTGGCTTCATGACACTCTACCATTATCTCTTTCTAATGATGCTTTCCCTTTTGTTCCTGTTATTCCCCCACGTTTCCTCCTCTGCCACTTTTCTATCTTTTCCCGTCCCCAGGTGTGGCAGTAAGCAGGGAGAAGAAGATTACCGGCCTTTGTTTGAGAACTTTGTCCAGGACCTGTTATCGACTGTAAACAAACCAGAGTGGCCGGCTGCAGAGCTGCTGCTCAGTTTGCTTGGCAGACTACTGGTTAGTAAAGCAGAGCTCTTTCTTTAAACTGGAAATGCAACCGTTTCTACTTAAGTGTTCCAAATATAAAGTATCCAGCGGCCTCATTTGTATGTAGGTTGTATAAAAACAAGTGTATGGTATTATACACTATAAACAGTAATTATGTCAAAACATTTTTTTAATTGTTAAGCATTTTAGATTTGAACGATCCTTTACAAATAAAGTTCATTATTATTATTATTATTATTATTATTATTATTATAATATATTATTATTGTTATTATTATTATTATTATTGTCCGGCAGTGGCTCAGTCAGTAGGGGCTTGGACTGGGAGGGTCACTGGTTTAAAGACCCCGAACAGCCTTATAATATGGATTTTGGACTGGTACTTCGAGAGGTCCCAGTTCACCTCCTGGGCCCTGCCGTGGTGCCCTGGAGAGAGGCACCGGACATAATTAAGAAGAAAGCTCTTTTTGTAAATGCACTAATGAAATGATGATATGGATTATTTCTGTTTTTCTTAAGTGTGCAGATAAAAGCTAATCTTGTGTAAGTGTAACATTATATTTCTAATTCTGTCTCTCCTCCCATCAGGTACACCAGTTCAGTAACAAGCAGACAGAGATGGCTCTGAGAGTAGCGTCTCTGGACTACCTGGGCACAGTGGCTGCCCGCCTGAGGAAGGACGCGGTCACCAGCAAAATGGACCAGAGATCAATTGATCGAATATTGAAAGAGGTAGGAGACTTCACATTGGATGCCCTCATATTCACTTGAACATACAAGTTAATGTATATAATAATAACTAAATGGAACATTGTTAAAATGCCTTTGTAATCTGTCTCTGTCTCTCTCTCTCTGCTTATTCAGTCTCAAGGTAATGATGAGACCCAGCAGCTGCAGAAGGCTCTCCTGGACTACATGGAGGAAAATGCTGAGACTGATGCCTCACTGGTGGTGGGTTTACATTAGACTGGCTGAGCAAGTGATGATTTTAGAAACCATTTGAACTTCATTTCAATTAAAGTTGAGGGCATGTGCATGTTCTGAATGTCATGTTGGTTTTTGGTTTATTACTTTAATTAGGGTAATTGGCCACCCAAGCTTGAAAAACATATATTGTCCATACATGCTGTTATCTCTTCAAATGATTAATAGGCCCTTTTAAAAAAATTAAATGGCTTATAGCAGGGCTATTCAATTATTTTGGAATGGGGGCCGGTTGATGAAAATGATCCAAAGCAAGGGGCTGGGAAAAAGATTGCTTGAAATATGAGCAATCATATTAAGTGCTTCGGATACAGTAAATACTACAACAGCATAGTGGAGTGCATATATTGTGTTTAAATAAATCAAACAACATAGCCCCAAGGCCTTTATAGATCTAAATGGCAAGTTCAGAACTCAGTAGGCCTACATGTGAAGCTAATTCAACCATCAACATCATTTGATTTAATTTAGGTGAAATTATATAAACATTCACGCAGAGATGCAATAAATGACAGGAATTGTCACTACAGTAGCGAGTAGGTGGGTTCGAAACCCGAGCCCGCAGAAGTTTTCAGGGATTGTCTTCCCCTCTATCTCTCAATGTAACGCCCTCTCTGGAATAAAGGCACTCTGGCCCATGAAGAAAAACTTTTTTTTTTAAATCGTAAAAAAAAAAAGTAGATTACTTTTTAACATTATACTCAAAGGGCCAGTAAATATCACCCTGGGGCCGGATTTGGCCCGCGGTCCGCCAATTGAATAGCCCTGGCTTATAGTATCACTACCTATATGTTTTTTACATTAGTATTTAATAATCTGTTACTATGAATAGTCTGAATAAATTCGATACTGGGATTTTTTGTCCTCTAGTTTGCTAGAAAGTTCTACATTGCCCAGTGGTTCCGGGACACCACGACAGAGGCTGAGAAGTCCATGAGGAACCAGAACCCGAAGGATGAAGACTCATCGGACGGACCGCAACATGCCAAGGAGATAGAAACGACCGGGGAAATTATGCAACGTGCTGAGAAGCGCAAGAAGTTTTTGCGCAACATCATCAAGGCCACGCCAGCTCACTTTGCCACACTGAAGTGAGGATTCTGTCAATGTGTCAGCAATCACCATATCACTCATATCGTATTGACATATTCAAACCTATTTTTCTCATTTGTCTTGTCTCGGGCCTCCTGTCAGTTACAGTCTGTCTGTCAACTGTACAACCCTCTAACATTCCCCCTCTTTGCCCCTCCCCAGAATGAACTCTGACACTGTGGACTATGAGGACTCCTGTCTGATTGTGCGTTATTTGGCCTCCATGAGGCCGTTCGCCCATAGCTTTGATATTTATTTAACACAGGTAAGATTGAAATATTATTACCATAAGTATATTTGTCATCTGTCAAGTCAAAGCAGCAACACACAAATCATCTGTTATTTGTTCACACAGTATAATACAGCTGATATTTGGACTAACTGGTTTAGCTTTTTTGAAGAAGAATAGTAAAGATGTTATCATGAGCTGATGCATCAATGGATCTTTTTCTTTTGTACAGATTCTGCGAGTCCTTGGGGAAAGTGCCATCGCCGTAAGGACTAAAGCCATGAAATGTCTGTCCGAGGTTGTGGCTGTGGACCCCAGCATACTGGCAAGGGTATGTGAGGATCTGTGTTTGCCAAGACCATTTGTCATGTCTGAATTTCACATTCCACATAATATACATCATGTGGCTTCTTGTTACTTTATTGCTCTGTCAAAAGTTCTGTCCTATGCTATCATGTATGCAAGTGCTATATTCTGACACACTCTTCTCCACTTCTGCAGTCCGACATGCAGCGGGGCGTCCACGGCCGTTTGATGGACAACTCTACCAGTGTGAGAGAGGCAGCTGTGGAGCTGCTGGGCAAGTTTGTGCTCAGCAGACCCCAACTCACTGAGCAGTACTATGACATGCTCACAGAGAGGATACTGGTAAGTTACTGAATCTGACTCATTGTAGACACTTTTGTGTTGTAAGGTCTTACAACCATGTGAACTGTCCACATGGTAGAATGCTTACATTTTTTAATTATTTTTGCAGTGGTGTGATGGCACGCAGTGTAATCAAAATGTTGATGTATATTTGTTTTGGTTCAATGCACTCTTTATTACTGTTTTTCGGTTCCCGTGCATGATTGTGAGGATGCAATTGGAACATTTTTAGGTCTTTGCTATTCCATTTATTAGGATATGCCCAGCTGTTTACCATGATGTTAATTACATGACATATTGGCACTCTACTAATGTGATCTTAACCATCACACTATCCGCATCATTTACATTGCAAGCTTTTGGTCACACAGTTTGCATGGAAAAGCACTGCAGGGATTGAGTTTGAAGTGTTCTTATTGGGGGTTTCAAGTTTGCTTTTGCTTTATGGAAATAAGGAACCAGTTTAATCGCAGGATGCAGTCTAGTATTAACAAAGAACATTGTGAAGGTGGTGGCACTATAAGCTGTGATTTCGAAACACCATCTAACACACAAGCTCTGCACTAAGTCTTTGTACTCGGCTCCTGACAAGTGAACATACTGAAATTGTTGTGCCTGTTGTCATGGAAATGATCAGGAGGGTTCATGAGAAGTTCACTCTTCATTACGGTCTTAAGCTGCCACCTATTGGTAGAAAAATGGCATTGCACCCCATTCAGAAGTTTTTGTTTATGATACACAGGACACTGGTATCAGCGTAAGAAAGCGAGTGATCAAGATCCTCAGAGACATCTGCCTGGAGCAGCCCACCTTCAGTAAGATCACTGAGATGTGTGTGAGGATGATCCGCAGGGTCAATGACGAGGAAGGAATCAAGGTATGGATCCAAGGCACCTTTTGTCTGTTCAAAATGTATCATTACTCATCAATTCGTTTTTCTTTCATCTTTAAGATACAATGCTCTGTGTTCAAATATATGGATCGCAAAACCTTTGAAAGATATGTTCTAAGGTATAGATTTAAACTGAAGGCGTGAACTTGTTTGCTTTATAGAAATTGGTGAATGAAACATTCCAGAAGTTGTGGTTTACTCCGACTCCCGCCAATGACAAAGTATCCATGACCAGAAAGATCCTCAACATCACTGATGTGGTAAGTTTGGATGACTTCCCAGTTTGTTGGAAGCCAACAAACTGTGCTCTGTGGTGAAGTTTGACATGAGAATCTTCGATTGACATGAGTCTGATTTGTTCTTCAGGTTTCAGCGTGTCGAGACACCGGCTATGACTGGTTTGAACAGCTTCTTCAGAATGTAAGTATTTGATTTTGTGTTGTAGCTTCGTCTAACGGGAATTATATGGATGTTTAAAAACGTTTTTAAATGAACATTGTCTCTTTTGCTCTAGCTTCTAAAGTCTGAAGAGGATGCATCGTATAAACCAGCCAAAAAGGCCTGTGTGCAGCTTGTTGACAATCTAGTGGAGCACATCCTCAAATACGAGGAATCTCTTTCAGGTATGCAGGTTTATCCTTTTTTCATCAAATTCAACTTTCCAAAAATGCAGCAGTTGATTTTCTTTCAGAACGCTATCTATACTCACAGTTTAGCCAATCATTTCCCTGCAGTAGGTTTGATTTGAGTTCAAATGTTAATTAATGCATTCCATTTTGACTCTGCAGAGAACAAAGGTGTAAACTCAACACGGCTAGTGTCGTGCATCACCACCTTGTACTTATTCAGCAAGATCAGGGCCCAGCTCATGGTCAAACATGCCATGACCATGCAACCCTACCTGACCACAAAGTGTAACGTAAGTTGTGCATACTAAATCCTTTTTGTTGTTGATAAATATACAAAGCAATACTCCTAATCTACTTGCATAATATGTTCTTTTACAACAGAACAGAGAAACTTGAACAAAGAATTCACTGCCTAATCCAGAGATTGATTTCAGGAACGACCTTTCTGATTGGCAAAAGAAGAGTTCCCCAAACAAGTCGATATTGGTTGGGATCCATCAGAGCTTTCCCAATGAATAACTCTTTTATTGTTTCAACCTCAGACTGCCAATGACTTCATGGTCATCTGTAACGTGGCCAAGATCTTGGAGCTTGTGGTTCCTCTGATGGAGCATCCCAGTGAGACTTACCTTGCCACCATCGAAGAAGACCTCATGAAGCTCATCATCAAATATGGCATGACGGTGCGTGGTTGTGGCTTTTTATCAATCATATGGAGGGGGGGGGGGGCCGCACCATTGTGGACCCATGTTGACTTAGTAACATTTTATAGTTGAAGTGTAAATGGTGTTGCTAAGGAGATGAATTGATGGTCCTCCTGCCTTTTCTCCAGGTGGTCCAACACTGTGTGAGCTGTCTCGGAGCTGTTGTCAACAAAGTCACGCACAACTATAAGTTTGTGTGGGCTTGCTTCAACAGATTCTATGGTGAGACATACAGTTAGAAATGTTGGCCTTCCATGTTCTGTTTTTGCAACAGTTTGCCTGCAGTTTAAGATGTCCCCCGTACAAACCAAGTTCAACAGTTTTAATGTGTTTTTGCAGGTGCACTTAACAAGCTGAAGGTGCAGCATCACGAGGATCCCAACAGCACCACGCTGGTAGCAAACAAGCCCTTCCTGCTGCGATCGCTCTTCACTGTGGGGGCCCTGGCTCGGCACTTTGACTTTGATCTGGAGGAGTTCAAAGGAACCAACAAAGTAGGACGATTTTATAATATCACAAATTTGAAATTAAAACTCTGAAAGCTATCAATTGTAGCTGTAAGTCTATTTATTGTTGTTTTGCTTTTAGAAACGGATAGAGAAAGTGTAGGGAATGCTTTGATGTGAAACCAAAGCCTTTGCTCTAACACATGATCCAACCTACAACTCTTATAACTATGTCTGTGTTGTGAACAGGTTGTTATCAAGGAGAAAGTTCTTGAGCTGCTGGTTTACTTCACCAAACATGAAGACGAGGAGGTCAAGACCAAAGCCATCATCGGCTTAGGCAAGAACACTTTTTTTTCCTATATACAATAAAGTTGTTGCTAAGTCTCTGTGTCAGAGTCAACTTGTACAGGGCTGAAAGGGAAAGACGGGCTATGTGTTAGAAGCCCACGTTCTAGTCCAAGCAGATGGATGTACATTGTTTGCTGTTTTTTCATGTCTTTATTCTTTTCTCTTAGGCTTCCTTGTGATCATGCATCCCAGCCAGATGTTTATGCCTGAGGTGAAGAATTTGTACAACGGCATCCTGGCTGACAGGGCCTCCTCCATCAACCTCAAAATCCAGATCCTTAAAAACCTCCAGACATATCTTCAGGAGGAAGACACGCGGATGCAGTACGCAGACAGAGATTGTAAGTGAAGCTGTGTTTGTTACTGTACTTTAAGGTTTGTTGATTTAGCACTGCAGTGTTACATTCTCTTACAGCATATCAGCAAGGTGCAGGTTGCTTTGATCATATTTTGGGTCCTTGCAGGGAAGAAACTGTCCAAACAGGAGGATCTGAAGGAGATGGGAGACATCTCATCAGGGATGAGCAGCTCCATCATGCAGCTTTATCTGAAACAGGTGTTGGAGGCGTTCTTCCACACGCAGTCCAGTGTACGGCACTTTGCTCTCAACGTCATCGCTCTCACACTCAACCAGGGTCTCATCCATCCTGTACAGGTAAGACATGAAAGCTGGAAGCTGTCAAACCACCCCACCTCTTGTGATAAATAATAAAGTTACATTGTAATAACTCATTTAGCAGACTAAATCAACAGTAATATGAACATAAACATGTGAACATCACACATTTGTTTGCCCTGTCTGCAGTGTGTACCCTACCTCATTGCAATGGGAACAGACCCAGAGAGCAGCATGAGGATCAAATCTGACCAGCAGCTGGTGGAGATTGACAAGAAGTACACGGGATTCATCCATGTGAGTCGTTGTTCAGTGTTGTCAAGTTTAAAAATAACACGGCAGGATTCTAAACAAGAATACAATGTAGATGGATCTGCTGTCGGGCTGGAGATTGCTGAAATATATTTCAGCAATTGTCTGTAACACTTTTCTTTCAACACATTTTTTCACAGATGAAGGCAGTTGCTGGGATGAAGATGTCGTACATCTTGCAGCAGGCCATCGAATCGTCTCGCAGGAACATCATCAGAGGATTCAGACAGGAGGAGACGACCTCCGCTCTCTGCGCCCACCTCTTCTCTATGATCCGGGGGAACCGGCAGCACCGGAGGGCTTTCCTCATCTCGCTGCTGAACCTCTTCGATGACAGTTCTGTGAGTAAACCTGGGCTCCTCTCTCTCTTAATTAGCAACATGCTAACCCGCGGCTCTCGAGCCACATGCAGCTCTTTAAGCCCTCTACTCTGGCTCCCTTGAGCTTAGACAAAAATAAGAAGGAAATAAAATGAAAATATTTGTATGACTATTTACATTTTGTTGCCCGGTTGAAAATGTTTCGTATTTTGAGGTGATACTGTGACACACAAAGAAAAAAAAGAAACGGTTTTTAATCATGTCAACCAAATACAACTTTATAAGCTATCAAATATGTTTTGCGACTCCAGACAAAAGAAATTGGTGGAAAAGGGGGCAAAATGGCTCTTGGTCAAAACGGTTGCAGACTCCAGTGCTAGGAGAACATTTCTTAAAGATACAGATAACAGCACTGAAAGCAAAACCTTTTATACATAGACACACTGGTGTTGCAAAATGTTAAATCCCACTCTTTTACTGTCTTGCAAATGTAATAAGAATTTTTATTTGTAGCATGTATGAATTAAATTCTAGTAGATGAATACTAAGAAGAGAGTGTTACTTACCATTAAGCAATGCTTTCTTTCTGCAGAGGACGGAAGTGAACATGCTGCTGTTTGTAGCAGACAACCTGGCCTGTTTCCCATACCAGAGCCAGGAGGAGCCTCTCTTCATTATGCACCACATAAGGAGGAGGAAAAGATTCATTGAGATTCTCCCAGGAGCAATGAGGAAGGAAAAAATGAAAAGGAAGATGTGGTACGGCGGCCTAAAAAGGCCCAAAAACCTGTTCCAGAGTCGGAGAGCTCAGAGTCCGATCTGGAGGATTTGGATTTGGAGGATGTGGAAAAAGTGATGAGGCTCCTCCCAGACAATCCCACAGGTCTCTTGGACTTTGCTAACTCTGTTCAGGGCATCTTGTTGCTTCTGGTGCTCAAACAGCATCTGAAGAACCAATATGGATTCTCTGATGGGTAAGATCTTTTGTAATATGTATTTCTTCATAGACTTTTTTCTAAATTAAGACATCTACTTTTGTATGTGTTGATTAGTTCGATCAATTCAAACCTTCAGAAACTCAAAGTGTTTTGATCTTTCAACAGCAAAATTCAGAAGTACTCTCCAACAGAGTCAGCCAAGGTGTACGATAAGGCGGTGAACAGGAAAAACACTGTTGTCTTCCACCCGCGACAAACCATCGACTTCATCTCCAACAACATGTTTCGTGCCACACTGTCAAACGATGTCAAGAGGCGAATTGTCCGACAGTACCTAGATGTAAGCAATGCATTGAAGCTATAACAGACTTTCTTTGCCAATATTTGATGTACGTCATCGTGAAAGTTAATCTGCTTTTGGTCTACTCACAAGTTACCAAGATATAAATACTAAATTGTTTCTAATTATCTAAGAAATGTTCAGTGCTGGCTGTAGTTTGCCCTTGAAATCATTCAATACCTGTACATGACTTGTACTGTTACTTCCACTATATTCTGTCACGTTTGCTGTTGTGTGTGAAACCTGCATCTGAAAGACAGCTTTGATCTGTTCTCTGCGACAGTTCAAGGTTCTGATGGAACATCTGGACCCAGACGAGGAGGATGAGGAGGGAGAAGCGTCTGCCAGCGCTAACATCAGAAACAAAGCCATAAGCGCCCTCCTGGGAGGCTCCGGCCCCATGTCGGGACCCAGCCCTCGCAACCAGGCTGGACCAGAGACTGATGACGACTACAGTGATGGCGACGAAAAGACCCCAGGGGTGAGAGAAACGGATACACACACCATGTATAAAATACAATTTCGAATACGGGGGGAAATAATGCAACCCTTTTTTCTTTTGTCATCCCTGCAGTCCTCTCGAAGGTCAAGGCGAGCAGTTGACTCCATGAACGAGATAGTGGAGTCCATGGATGTGATTGCTCTTTGCTGTCCGAAATACAAGGACCGGCCGCAAATAGCTCGAGTCATCCAGAAGACCTCCAATGGATACCACATCCACTGGATGGCCGGCTCCTACTCGGGGCCCTGGGCAGACGCCAAGAAACGCGATGGCCGCAAACAGGTGCCTTGGGTGGACACTATTAAGGAGTCGGACATCATTTACAAGAAGATTGCCTTGACCAGCAACCACAAACTGAGCAACAAAGTAGTACAGACTTTACGCTCACTGTATGCAGCGCGGGAAGGAGGGGCTAGCTAATGGCTCCCGTGTGATTTTTTTTTTTTTTTTTTTGTCCCCCTTACCCATTTCTACTTTATCAAAATCCTCCTCTTCCCTGCTCCTCCTCCTCCTCCTCAACCTGCCACCTCCAACAACACAGCCAAACTTCACTGGATTCCTACCCTGCTCCTCTTCTTCCTCATTTTTGTAAGAAAGACACAAGAGGGCAAGAATATTTGACACTACATGCTTTTACATGAGTTATTCTTGCAGAAATGAAAATGACACAAAAGACTTGTTATATTAGAGGGACTGCTCACGTTTTGTTTGTGTACAAGTGCAGAGGATAGGATCCAGAAGGCATTAAAGGAATAATTATCCCTTAAAAAGGCTATTAGAAAAGAGACCTGGAGGGAAATGTTATGTCAACATTGTTGTGGGAGCTCCTTCGCTGTTGTGCAGCAGATTCTAATCGCTCATTTCTACTCCCACTGTATCATAGTTTAACACAACAAAAAACTAAAATGTTTATATCTCTGAAGACAAAAAAGCTGTAAAAAAAGAATAAAACCTTAAGTGAATGTTGGAAATTAGTCTTTTTGATGTTCTTATTAAAGTGTTTTTGGAGTTTATTATACTACTAGCACCCTGATGGTTTTTTCCTTTTAGCTTTTAGATATTTTATGGAAAACAAGAAAAAAGACCAAAAAAAATAAGATTTTTTATTTTTGTTCACTTTTATTTGTCCATGCTGTACAATGGCAGAGTCCTCTGGACATAATTTATTCTATTTCGAAATACGCATGCAGTATATGTGGCCTATTGCAGGAAGATATTTTGTAAATGTAGATTTTGTTGTATTAGGTCACCCTAGTAATAAGAGGAAAGGGGATTCATACCCTTTTGGTGGAACAATACTGCAATAAATTTTTCTACTTCTCTTTGTCACTTGTCTGCTCAAGGTGTTAATCTGATCTGTTCATTTTATAAATGAAGAAAAGCGTAGGAACTGGATACTGCAAAAACACAGATAGGTCTCAGAGGCTTAATCTGTTTCATCTGAGGGATGGGGAAAGCTTACCAGACAATCCTTTTCTGAATATTTCTTTACAATTAAAACACAAGCCCCAACTCCACTATCCAACCAGACTTTACAATAAGACTAGCCCTTATAAAGGGGTTTATGGAAGTTTGTAAATTCATTTATTAATAGGCGTTGTGAATACTTTATAAATCCATTAATGACTTTATAAGAACGAGATAAAACAGGGCAACTGTGACCGTTTGCCTTGCCACAATAGTGAGCTCCACATTTATCTGTAACTGCTAAGTCTTATATTGGCTAATTAGCTTACTTCATCTTCTTCTCAAGCAAGCCTCCTGGTGCTGTTGTTTTCACCTGAGGTCGATTCTTGCTAAGTTAGCCCAATATACCAGGCTTAGTCATCTTGCCACATAAGCTGAGCCCTGTGTTGAATGTATATAACTGGTTTTATAAAGGGTTCTTAATGATTAATGAATGTGTTTACATTAATTTCAACCTAAATTATAAAACCTTTTATGAATCCCTTAATAGGTATCTGATTGTAAAGTGTACCTTTTTTGTATTGTGGTCCACCGCAAGGGAATCATGCAAACACTATGGGGACAAAACAGTCTCCTAACTATAATTTACTGCCTAATGGTACGAGTCTTTATTGGATAATTGATAACAACTGTATTTAAATCTGTCCAAATCAAACCTGTCCAGACACTTATTTGGTATTAAGTGAGTGGAAGCTCCTTACTTTTGTACGTAAATTACATTATGAAACCTCAAGTATGATTTGCAAAATGTAGATTACAAATAAAACATATAGTGGCCATATTGTACAAAATTAGTAGTTTTACCTTTTGTATCTCTGATGGTCCAACAAATTTGTACTTGAACTTGTTAAGATTAAAAAATACAGCGTACTTCAAGCCAAAGTTTTCAATATCTCCTTGTTTAAAATACCAAATCCCGGTATCCGGTACACACAAATATAAAACTGACCAGGCCGGAGAGAAGAAAGGAGAGGAAGCGCTGATCTCTGAAGCACAAGCCCAGGTATTTTAAATGGACAAAAAGAAAAGGGCTCACAGCCCAAACTTGCAAAGCTAGAAACCTTAGATAGCAAATTACTGGAGCCCACATCCTCATGATTAACAAAACACAGGGTCCACACAGAGACACTTCAGAGACCATGCCCCTGCACACATGCAGCCAGAGGAAAGAGGAGAAGGAAAGCCACGTGCAGCCTTCCTCATGTCCCCTGTTAAGAGGCCCTGATGGGAGATTGGGGGGAGAAGCTGCACCGGAGACAATAACTTCGGGACACTCAGCAGTCTCTCGCATTTGCTTGGTCAAATGAGCAGCCGCTCATTCTTTTGAAAGTGCGCCGATGTATAGCGTCTTTACATAATGCCGAGAAGCGGCGCTGCACGTAGTCAATGCGTATGCTACTATTGATCAATCAATCAATGATATTTTGATGAGGGGAGTAAAAGTCATTTTGTAGCCATAATTCCTGAACTAAAATGTGGTACTGTTGGACTCAAATACTTGGTTAGACCACTACCACAAATACAATCAAGTACTTCCTACGGTGTACTATGTTGAGTAAGTACTCTGTCCAACTCCTTCCCTCTCAGAGTAAAATACCGGCCCTCTTTGTGAGAGATACAACTTTTTTGCAATAACGTGCGTAAAAAATCGGTTATGGTGGGAATTCCTAATACTACTTGGACCTACTACCCACGAGTACACTAAAGTACTTTTACTTGTGTACTTTGAGTAATAACTCGTTTAACTCCTGTCCCTGAGTCACACAAAAATTGTATTCTGGCCTATTTTTGATGAGAGATGAAAAAGATTCTCTGCTATAAATTCCTAAATGAAAGTTGGTAAGGGTCTAACTTGGACCTACACTGACAAGTACAATCCAGTACTTTTACTGCGTGTACGTTTTTTGAGTAATCCCTTCAAAACTGTCCCCTCCTGATTACAAAAATGCATTGTTTTCTGCCATCCTTTTCCACTGGAGAGCGATAAAAATAATGGGGTTTGCTATAACATTCTTAATAGCAATGGTACTGTTGATTCAAGTACTACTTGGGACTACGTACCAAAATACAATCAAGCTTAGCATTTACAGTGTACTTTTTTGAAGACCGAGTAATAGGCCTACTCGTAAACTCCTGTCCTAACTAATTATGTATTCTGCCCGACCCCAACCCTGTCCCTAAAAACATTACGTTTCCCACAGAACTAAACCAAGGCATCCTCAAATCAACGTCTTAGCTAGAAACGTCTGTGTCTGTTGTGTGTTATGCGAGAAGCAGAAGATGTAGTGTGATGAAGTTTCCACACAAAAAAAAAAATAATGTGTTACTTCACAATTTACGACACATTTTTTTTTGTTTTGACTTGCAAAATTAAATATTGTTATTGACAAACCATCAATATTGTAACTTCGGTGGGCACAATCCCAAACGGGAGATCGAAAGATAATCTTCTCTCTCCATTTGACCTTCAATACATTATTTTTCCCGAAAAAGGTCCCATGGAGGTACCAGAAAGGGAGGGACCTTCGCCACCTATACAAAGCCTTCTCTGTTCTTCCCCTGCAAAACTCTTGATATTTTTTTGGCGGGGTGTTCCCCATTGTCTTCCAGTCTATGCTTCCAGTGGCGCCTCGCGACGCTTTTCACACCTGCGTAAAGCATCAACTTCTTTAAATAAATCACGCAACCTATCGGAAGCGACTCTAGTTACCATTTGCAGGGTTTACTTCCTAACGCTAACAGCAAACAGACCGAGAAAAATAAGTGTAAAGATTTTTAGCCTCGCAACACCGCAGTTGCGTCTTTTGTAACATTTAATTTACTAAACGAGTGTTTACTGCGATCCTGATATTTATGGTTGTTGTGAGTACCAGGCTTTTCATAACAACTATTTTTAGATGTTAGCAAGAAGCCCAACGTATCCTTTCGTGCGTTTAAAATGCGTCACGGCAAGTTTATGTCAGCTGAACCGAGCAAGCTAGTTAGAAGACTAGAGCGGATGTGCCCGTTGACATCCAGAGGTTCGTGGGAGCTGTCGCGCCAGGGGAACTGAGTGCAAGTCTGGGGACGTGGAGGTGGGAGAGTGTGACTGATAGAGGTGAGCCAGTCACGATGCGGTGCACTGCACAGGAGACCACAGCAGAAACAGCTCACAAAACACAACACGACACATTTCCAATGGAAGTTTAAATACGAGCAAAGTTGGGTTTTGAAACGGTAATTTAATCTTCCATTTTTTGCAAGTGCAAATGCTTAACACTGGAGCCTATCGTGCGTGAACTGGTGGCGCTGTTTCGGGGAGTTGTGGGTTCTAATGCCGTGCAAAATGACGGCGACTGCTTCAGATTTGCCTCATTGTTTCAAAAAAAGTCCGTCATAGACACCGAACATATTTCGGTAACGAGACCATGAGAAGTAGCATGTCTGGTTGTCCGACATTCTGAAATACATTACATACCGCGTTTACGTTTAGCCAGCGCGTTGCTCCTGATGATTATTGGTTTTAACTGTGGCCACAACAATTTTCACATAAATGCACTTGTATATGATTTGCGGACAAGATGGGTTTAACAACGAATTAATGTTTATAAATGGTATTGTTTAATTTTGTTCTTGTTCAACGCACGTTTTCCTAGTGAAGGCTGAGTCGAGCGAGGCGGCAGACCCACTCCGGACTGCCGATGCCGCGTGCAAGACACCAAAACAGAATGAGCATGAGTAATCCAACAC